AACCCAAGAAGTTTTCACACAAGGAAACGAAAGCAGCAAGATACACAATAGAATTGGGAATAAAGTGATGGAGCTACGCTCCGAAGAAGTTCAAGAAGCTCCAGAGAAAAGGATGAGGAGGCAGAGAGAATCCACGATCGATATGGGTGGCGAGGAGGACACACTCACCATCAAGAGGCTGGGGTTCGACTTCTTTCCCCGGGAAGCGCGCAGATTCGTGGGGAATGAATCCCCCCTCGACCAGATCATCGAGATCATCCTGCCGAATCACCGACGGCATCCAGTCGCCCTGGATCCAATCCTTGGGCAGAGCAGTCCTTGAGGAAGATCCGCCCCGAGCGGACTTCTTCCCCTTCCCCTGCACCGCCGCCTTCTTCGCGCGCTCCAGAGCCGACGTCTTCTCCTTCACCATCGTCGCCGGCGAAGATCGAACAGACCTACGGCACCAAGGTGGGAGCGGAGGTGGTGGAGGATCTTGTGAAGGAAGGGGGAAAAGTGAAGGCGCACTATTCGGGGGTCCCGAGCCGACAGCTTATAAGAGGTCACTTCCGAGTGGCTGACTGGTAGGCCCAGGCAATCCCGTTAAATCCCGCAACGGGCGCGCGCGCGGTACGTGGCAAAAAAGGTGGCGCGGGGATCAAGGAGCTTCCGCCCTATCCTATCCGATTACTGCGGCCGCCCCCGTCCCGCGCGCTTCCCGAAATTCAAATCCCGCAAAATCCGCGGGCCGCAGAACAACTCGTCAAACAGAAGATCCCTTTCACACCGTCACTCGGAACTTCACAAGTAAAGAAATTCACTCAACAAGAGGCCAAGAATGGATCAAGGCGACTGAAAGAAGTTGACGACGTCATCCGTGACAATTGATCCAAAACAAGACGTTCATATAACATGAAGAACCAGTCGGAAAGATCCCCAACTCCTTCCCCACTCGAACCTCGATCCATTCGGGTGCTAATGATGAAGCTATGTACCTAGGATAGGGGCATGGACCTGTCCTAAGTACCCTACCCAAGGACATCCCTAGAAGAAGTCACCTTTCAATCGACTTGGAGGTATCCCACTCAACAGATTCAAGACACTCGACCATGAAGCAATCACTCGACCAAATTCCAACCACTCGACTGTCAGGAGATCTAAAGTCACCCTGCACACAAATGGTCGATCATTAAGTAGCTTTTATGGTCGTCATAGCACTTTATTAGGGGCGTTACCAGTAACCCCCAGTCTTAATGTACTTTAAACCTTGCATTACTGAGGGCTGGAGGGGCCTGGCGAACTCTATATAAGCCACCCCCCTCCTCAGTATCGTGGGTTCGCACCTCTGTAACTCATACACACATAATCCAGTCGACCCCCTCCGGGCTCCGAGACGTAGGGCTTTTACTTCTTCCAAGAAGGGCCTGAACTCGTAAACCTTGCGTCCTTACAACCTCTCCATAGCTAAGACCTCGCCTCTCCATACTTACCCCCCTACATCACTGTCAGAGTTAGAACCACGACAGCATGTCTCTTACATCTTCAACTCTCAAGCACAAAAATTTCTCATCCTCCCTTCATCTTCTTCCGCCATGTTCTCCGTCATCATGTGCATCTCTTCTCCTAACTAAATGTACATGTGTTGCCACTAACTAAATGTAATGTGTTGCCATGAGATAATAAATAAAATATTTATTAACATGGTATCCTGTTTTATGGACATGTCATTAGAGAGCAATATGTGTGTGATGTCTGACTTGTGACAATAAAAATCTTGATTTTCTCTTCATTTCTTGGTATAGATGGTGACCAACCTGCATCTTCATGTTCTTTGTTCTAGCCGCATGTCTCCTACACCCCCAACCCCCAAGAACAAAATTTTCTCGCCCTCCTTCCTTCACCTTCTCCCATCATGTTCTCCGTTTTCATGTGCACACCTTCTCCCGTCAATGTACCAGATGAAGCTGAGCTTGGACACTTTTGGCTACAACGATGTTGCCTAAAGTTTGATCTTTCAAGAATATGAGCTATGACATGTGCATTTATGGTCATGGCCACTTTGCATCGGTTGCTGCCTGCATTCATGGCTTCATTTGTCCACTCAAAGGACATGTAATGTCTTTCAGTTTCAACTTCTTGGTACGACAATGTCCTAACTTGTGACATATATGGGTTGTGATCCTTGGCAATGCTCCTTCTCAGTGTCTCCAGTGTATCGCGATGTCTACTTTCACTAGATGACACGTTGCGCCATTGACGCAAAACCCAAATGCAATCGAAAAGTTAGGTGACCTATTTGAATGATGTTTTCCTGAATTATCTGTGAATGACTAAGTTCATATTGTGTTTGGCCCATGTCTTTCTTTGGTGACCCATAGCTCATTTTCTTGAGTAGGTGAATGGACTCTAAGATTCTCCTTTTCATGCTCTAGCCTTTCTTCATTTCGTAATTGTGAAAACGACGTTGAGGTTGACAGGGACTATTACTCCCTAAACATCCATATCCATAATTCCGATCTGTTATACCCTTGGCACAAAAATAAAGATGGACGGAAGGTTAAGCGAAATATTCAAACTATACTTTAGTCTCATTATCGCCCTTGGCACAAAAAAATATGTAGCCAAGAAGTCTAGTCTGAGTTTTTTTTTTTTTTTTTTGCAGTTGAGTTGTCTAGCAAGAAGCGCAGTATTTTTAGTTTCTTGCCTGCTCGAGTAGCCACAAAATCCGGGTAAAACTATATGCAACAACCCTTCATCATTGAAGGAAACAAAAACATCACCATTCGCAGTGTTGTTCGTCCATGAGTCCACTTCTCCATCCACAGAGTATTATCTAATTCCGTTGTGTCCGTGGCGTGAAGAACAAGCACAACTGATAAGTGAGGCGTCATTGGACATTCCTAAAGGCACACACATATCATATGTAAACCACAAATATTTATACATGAGTATCGCAAATTATTAGCTTTTTATACATATATATGGCACAATGCACTCTTGACGCAAAACCAAATACAACCTAGAAGTCAGCTTAACTATTTGAAAGATTTTTCTCTCGAACTATCTATAAAATACATTGTGAGTGGTTATAAGGAAGGCATGATAAGGTCATCAAATATGAATAGGGTGAATGGAAAATGGAACACATTGTCGCACGCAACCACACGCATGTGTTATGCATCTGCTCGACCTAAAATCATAGATGCAGGTGATCAGAACTTGGTCACCCTAAACCCATACGAGCAAATTAGAAGGCGTGCATTCCTTGCGACTGTTTGTTTTCTTTGAGAAACTATCTTTTATTGAAAAAGATTTTCGCCCCGCTTTATATATAAAGCAACGATCAAAAGTATAAATCCGGAAACAACATGCAACCACCCACACACCACACATACCCAAGGCAAGATACAAGAGTGCTGATGCACCACAACACTACCCAATCGACCACCAAACACACTACCAAACACTTGGGGCCGACGAGGACCTTCCGAGACCTAGCCACCGAGAAGAAGTGAAGCTGGACAATAGCGAAGCATGGACTCCAAGGCGGTGTCTTCAAGAAGGGCACGACACCGAAAGTTGCCACCGCCCTATCTCGGAGATCAAGATCAAGTTTTCACCCGGAGCAACATGGAAAGAAGAGAACACCACGACGGAGCCTTCATGAAGGAAACGACGCCCGCGGCCGCCGCCACCGTCGGCCGGAGAAGACCGGGCAAGTTATGTACTCCGGTGTTAACCCTCTACCAAACCACCATGCTTCGCCAAACATCACCAACCATGCCACCCATGTGGCCATGGCTGCCCGACCGCACCCAAGACGCGCGCTCCGCCCACGAACACCGCGTCACCCGCCGCCAGGGCCGCCGCCCAGCATCCAAGCAACTCTGTGAACACCCAAAGGCCTTGGCTTTGGCCTGACTGGCAGCCCCCGCCTATGAAGATGCCAGCAACCGCCCTGTCTCGAACATCGCCAGAACCCCAACAAAGAGCACACAGCCAAGGAAAGGGGGAGGAGGAGCGGACGCATCCGAACCGGTGCACCCCTGCACCGGCGACGGGTGGCCATCGGGGCCTCCCGTCCCTCCTGAGAGCTCCCCACCGGACACACCCCCGTGTCGCCTCACCATGGCGCCCGCCGCAGCTCGACGCGAGGCCACCAACGGCAGCCGGCCCAACCATCGACAAGGAGCGCGAAGCCAACCCACACCCGCAGCCAAGAGCACTCGCCGGGAGAGCCCCCGCGCCGCTCGCCGCCATCTAGGGGCCGGAACAGGGGAGCCCTGACTGGAGGTCGGCCAGCCCGCGCCACCAGCGCACGCGCCCGCCGCGAGCCCGACCACCGCGCTGCACGCAGCAGCAAAAGCTCCCGCGCCCGCCGGTGAGGCGCCGCACGTCGCCCGCACCCGCCGGACCACCAGATCTGGCCGAGCCCAGACCTGGCCGCCACCGCAGCCACGAGCGCGAGCCGCCCCGTGCAGCCCACCGCGCCGCCACCAAGCCCTTGCTACCCCGCTGCCAGGGCCCGCCTCCGCGCCCTGCACCAGCGCGAAGCACCGCCGTCCACCGCCGCCCCGCGCCAACAGCCTCCGAGCGGGATGAAGAAGAGCCCCGCCGCCACCGACGCTGGTGGGCTTTGCCGGGCAGCGTGGTCCGGCGGGAAAGGAAGGGACAAGGGGAGGCCCGAAGCCGGCGGCTAGGGTCGAGGAGGGGAGGGGAAACTATCTTTTCACGTGTGAAAACTTAGGAACAGCGCACTGGAAACAGCGTTGCGAGGCTGTTGAAGATGCTGTTAGGCTATCGGATTTGTGACCATGCTAAGCTGGTCGGCACAAGATCCAAATTTTGAAATAGGGGCAACGTACAATAGCACTGACACATCGCTAGCTCACGGATTACAGCCTCAGGCCGTCGTGCCACTGCCGGCGGCCCCCACGCAATCCACGCTAAGCTTCCGCCGAATCCTTCCAGCCAACGACCATCCGCTCGTCGGCTTCCCGCGCCGGCTGGGGCCTGATCAGATGCTGACGCTCCTCTCCCTCCGACCCCCGCCGCCCGCCGTCGCAAACATTCTCCCCTCCGCCGCCGCCGCGCAGAGCCGTCCTCCACTGCTCCGCGCTCGCCGCACGGCCGGTCCTCCCCCGCCTTCAGCCGCCGCCGCCGAGTTCCCTGCCGGTAACTTTCTTTTCTTGCATTGGGGGTGAAAGATTTTACATTTCGATAGGATAGGAGATGCTTCAAATTGGTGTTCCGAAAAAAGGAGGTTGCGGTGTTCTTCTTCCTGGAGCGAAAAATTGGGATCGTTGCGCTAGAAAGTGGTTCATAATTGCGAATATCTTTTTTCACTTTCCCCAAACACAAGCACGCACTAAACTAAACCCCGAAGCAAACGCAGGATCGGTTCCGGGCAGCGGTACGCAGATGCCGCCGCGCCGCCGCCGGCTCGTGGCCGGCATCGACCAGGACGAGCTCCTCGACCCGGACGCGCTCGCGGATCCTGACAGCAGCTTCTACGAGTTCAACGGCGTCAGGGTCCACCACAAGGTATGCGCCCATGGCGAGGACGAGGATTCGGGCGGCCAGTCCTCGGGCTCCGCCGTCGCCAGGAGTCAGGCCGGGCTGCCCATAGTGCTGCTTCACGGCTTCGGCGCGTCGGTGTTCTCCTGGAGCCGCGTCATGCGGCCACTCGCCCGCATCGCCGGCGCCAAGGTCCTCGCCTTCGACCGGCCGGCGTTTGGCCTGACTTCCCGGACCAGACGGTCCGGCGATGACACCAAGCCTCTCAACCCTTACTCCATGGCCTTCTCGGCCATGGCCACACTGGCATTCATAGACCAACTCGGCCCCGGGAAGGCCGTCCTTGTTGGGTACAGATGCACACCCTGCACTGCATTTCTCTGTGTCACTGCATCGCTAGTTTTTTTTTATCAAGGACATTGAGATTAATTTTCCGGTTTGGGTCATCCCAGGCACTCTGCCGGCTGCCTCGTTGCAGTGGAGGCGTACTTCGAGGCGCCTGAGCTGGTGGTGGCGCTAGTGCTGGTTGCACCGGCGATTTTCGCGCCGAGGAAGGGTGAGAAAGAGAACAGCGTAGGGGAGCAGGAAGGGGCAGACAAGAAGGATTCTGATGATAACAATGCAGCACCAAATCCATTTGCTAGGATATGGAGAGGGTTTCTTGGCATGTGTATGTGGCTTGCAGGGCTTGTTCTGAAGTTGGTCATGGCAGTGCAGGATACGGTCAGAGCTTTGTCTTCTAAGCTTCTTGTGGCTTTTCTACGCTCTTCATTGGCGGCGAGTCTGGTACGTTGCTCTTTCCTGATTCACTACTGGCTAAAACACAAGCAAAATTTAGGGCCCTAAAAAATCCACAAAATTTAGAACTTACTGATCAAATAGTCAAAATACAGACACTTCTAGTTCCTGCAACTTTTGTGGTTCCATTCCTTTTCATAGGTGAGATTGATCATGGATAAATTCGGCGTAACGGGCGTTCGTAATGCATGGTATGACCCAAGCAAAGTAACTGATCATGTTATTCAAGGCTACACCAAGGTGAGTTCTCTCTAGGAAAATATCACCAAGTGAGAAAGACCTACTCATACTCATATTGTTGTTCATGGAGTTTCTTTCAGCCACTAAGATCCAAGGGATGGGAGACAGCTCTCTTGGAGTACACTATATCCATGATTACAGATTCTTCACCAAAGTCAAGAGTGCCAGTCTCGAAGAGGCTCTCTGAGATCTCATGCCCAGGTTCAACTATATGCTTCTTCTAATGAGCATCTTATCCTTACCTGTGTATAATTCAGTGCTACTACTGGACTGAATATGTGCTGATGTCCCTAGAAATTTCAGATGAAGTTTTGAATGCTCTAATACACGATACATAAAACAATCTTCTCTTTACAGAAGATCGGTAAACAATGTTATTTCTGAATAGTTTTGATTGTCTTATCATTGCAGTGCTAGTGGTGACTGGCGACACAGACCGCCTTGTTCCAGCTTCGAATGCTGAACGCCTAGCACGTGCGATTCCTGGCGCGGCATTTGAGGTGATCAAGAATTGTGGGCACTTGCCCCAGGAGGAACGAGCTGAAGAATTCCTTTCAGTCGTCGAACGGTTCCTACAGAGAGCATTTGGAACTCCAGATGAGCATGTGTTCCAAGCAGCTGTATGATGACACATGCTGGTAAATGCATATGCAGAACAGATGGACCTACACTTGTCTCGACAGGGATAACGAGGAAAATGATATGCAGTTTAACGATTGGAGATCTATCATTTAATAGCCTTGGATGTTTATATACAACGAAGCAAGCATTATTGTGCAAAGTTGGATAAGAGAATCTTACTACACAAAATCCAGAGGCTAAGAAGAATTCATTGGATTGGTTGGTCCAGTCGAATCATCACCCTGAAGTAACCGTTTCCTGTAACTAAAACTTTCGGTTTTGTAAAGTGGTAGATCAAAGTGTGTTTTCAGAATGTCATAGCTATATCAACTACTGTTTAATCTTTTGTATATAGTTGAAATCCTGCACACATCTCCCTTGATTTATTCATGTTGTCGTCAACCCTGCAACATTACTTGATGAAGAAAAAAATCCCAATAAAATTTCAACAGCACTAACTGTCCATAAATCCACAGTTTTTGTGTATTGTATCAAGGTTCTCTTTCTGTGATTCACTCTTTGTTCAAGTGCTGACATACATGAGGACTAAAACAATGTGTACAAACATTTATCTCTGCAAACACAACAAGCCCTTTTACCATCAGTGGTAAATTCACAAATGCTGGTCCGGATTCTGAACATGCTAGATAATGCCATCTTCCACACATGATAATAAGTTGTACTACCATGTCCACAAGTTCTTCTAATTTATTCGGGTGGTTTCCTCGAAGACAGAAAAGGCTGGGGCACCATGGATACTGGATCCAGTTAGAGGGTAAAATCACTGCTGGATCTCAGAACTCTCTTTACAGTCGGCATTCTCAGGTGGCAACAGATAACCAGCAAAAAAGGAGCCGTGGTAGTACCATTGTGCAGATTGCCAACCATCCATAGGAATGCTATTTGTACAAGTTTCTAGTGTACATCATCGTTGTGGCACCCATTGCATCATCACCGAATCCACATGCTTGAAAAAATGGCCTGCAAACAGTACCAAAAGATGTGTAAACATCATCATATACTGTCATAAGATTCTATTGCAGGTGATATGTGGAGGTAGAAGTAGATCACCGCTTCCTCCTTTACAGATAACACGAAAGATAGCACGTAAGGACATTCATGAAGTCCACCAAATTAGGTAAGAAAGACATACCTCTCCTTTCCTGTGCATAATGCAGAAATGTCATAAATACCTCTGCTATGGAGTACCCTGGAGAGATTGTTCCAGAAACAAGCAAATTAGATGAAGCTTAAACTTTGGACAGCAAATAAATCAGCACCTTTTAAATATACTCCCTCTTTAAGTTAATATAAGACGTTTTTTGACACTATGATTATCTCTGCTCAAGTACTTTGTATTGTGCATAAGCATGTTGTTCCAATCTCTGAGTTTAGTCGATCCAGAGATACATTCATTGTTCATGTTTCAATATGCAGTCAAAGTAATACAAGAAAACTGTGAAGTCTGTACCCCAAGAAAAACATAACATAAATCACTTTATAGTCTGTCGGTCAAGTAAGCTTTGCTACCGACAAACAGCCGTGGTAATGTTATCTGTCCAAGTAAGTACGATATATGCGTGATGACTGGGATGCTATGTTTAACAGAGAAACACAATACCCTGAAGATAGTTTTATCAAGCAAGAAACATATTTCAAACGCAGGATATTATCTTCTGTTTGCTTATCACTCGGTCGTTTCTTTCCAATGGTGCAGGAGATTTGTATGTTTCGGTGCAAGAGGCCTCTATCTCTATTCCTTGAATCCATGAAAAGAACATCATATTTTTTTTTTTTTGCTTCGTCATTGCTAACTTGCACGGTTTACATAAGAAAACATGAATGTTATTTTTCCTCTATTAGGTCAACTCAGAAGTTAGCCCCTTTCAGACTTCACCAGAAAAACCCAATGTCAGCAACCTACCTTGTAATTTTTTCAAGTATTTTGCGCCCAATTCCTCTCCTCTGCACTGATGGATGAACCTGCAACAAGTCACTGAAGATAGTTCCATAAACACATGCGCTCCAGCGATAACCATTGGTTTCGCGCAGTTCGCTACTGACCACTTGTATAATCAAGAGGAGAAGATCACCACGACGTCATGGACGGAGGCGGTGAGCCCCATGTCGGAGACGGCCCGTCCGAACCCGACGAGCCGCTGCTCCCCCCGCCGCCCGAGCCCGAGGTCGAGCTCCAGGCCCATGAAGCGCCGGTCGTCTCCTCCGTCGTCCTCCTCCAGGAACCTGGTCCCGCAGAAGACGGACACGACCAGGAAGCTGTGCGCCACGGCGGTGCGGAGCTTGCGGATGTCGACGGGCTCCGGCCGCGCGGCGGCTTCCGGCGGGGAGAGGCGGATGGCGCAGGAGTGCGCGCAGGCGAGCATGAGCGCCTGGAGGTGGGCCGGGTCGACGAGGGCCGGGTCCATGGAGATGGAGATCGGCGGGGGCCTGAGCCTGGGCCTGGCGACGCGCTTGTTGGGGCCGAAGGGGCTCGGTGTCGGCGAGGAGAAGACCGCAAGCGTGGTGAGACGGGGCGGAAGCCTGTTCACGCCGGCGGCCATGGGGAGGGTGACGAGTGAGTGGTCGTGGTCTCGTGGAAGTGGAGCTCTGCGGGTGGGCGCCAATGGAGGTTGGTGATGGCGACGAATCGAACGGGAAAGACGCTACTGCCCCTGGGACATCGGCGCGCGCGTGTGTGTGGTTCTAAATGGGCCTAGCGCCGAGCTTTAATGGGCCTACTCGAACAAGCCCGCCACGGTTGTTATCTCTTTTCTCCCGCAGAAAAAAATCGAAATAAATCCTGCAACTGTTCAAGAAAAAGAAAAAACTCCAACCTTTCCCTTTCCTCCGCGATCCGCCGATCCCCAACCCCCAATTCCGACGTCGTCCCGCGGCCGAGCCCCAGCATCGCGAGATCGCTGTTCCCGCCGGCGGAGTTCTCTCTCGCCGCATCACGCCCTAGATTTTTCGAGGCGAAGGTGATTTTCTTCGAACCCTTGGACCTTGCCGTCAACTGATCTGATTGTTTGCTGTCGCATCGCAAATGGCTGCGGCTCTTCTCCAAATCCGCGCAAAATATTTTTCCCTCGCGTTTGATTTTAGCGCCCCGTCGTAGTGGAAATTGGGGAGTCGGCTGCTGATTTTGTGATGCGTGTACGATCTCGGTACCTCTCCTGCATAGCTACTGCTGCTTTTCATTATTGTTTAGTTTGTCTGCGTGGATCTCCTGCGGCAGGCTGTTCCGTGATAAAAGAGGGTGGCGATTAAATTGATAAGATCGTATGTTAGAGGAAATTAATGAAGGAAAACACGGGGGGACTCTGCAAATGAGTTGGTTGGTGTGGTTGCTGGTCCTCAGTAGTAAAAGTATCCAGTTTGGTCATGTGAATACTTTGTTTGGTAGCTATTGCATTCTATTTGTAGATATGCTTAATCGCTTATCCAATTTGATCATAGTCATCTGGTTTAATGTACGCTGCATATTTCTTCTCCGTCATAACTGGAGCAATCGCTTGCTTTTCTTTGTCAGGTTGACATCTGGGAAGAACTTTTGTGACGTGCTCAACAATGTATCTGATAAACACCTGACCCAGGAATTAAGCAGGACATACCTCTGTTTCCATTTAGATCATTTGTTATCTGCAATAGCGCCCCTTGTTCTTTTCACCAGCGCATTGCTTACACATCTCAGCGTCAGATTTACTAGTACAAGATGCCCATGTCTGGCAGTCAGACACAATCTAGCGACTATGAGCTTCTTGCCAGCCAACCCGATGCTCAATGCCTAGTTTGCACGAGACCTTTTACTTTGGATACTGAGGTGACCAATAGCTTTGAAGCTTTAGCTATATGCAGGGAATGCAAGGCTACTGTGCTTAATGATAGTCAAAGAGATGTAACAACCAGCACTAGTCAGCAAAGACGACAAAGAAGGCGGAGATCTAGGACTGCAAGTCTTGAATCTAATGAGGATGCATTCTCACAGCAGTTTTCCCAACTGATCAACTTAGCTAGACAGGGCCATGAAGCAGATATTGATTCTCCGACCGTTGTGCGACAGCTGGCATCTTATAATTCTACACCGAACCAGTCCCAAAGGTGGCATGCTTCAGATGATGAGAGTGACGGTCTCAGTTATGCTGATTCTGTGTTTGACGAGCTTGAATCAAACATCAGTTTTGGGGACTATGGCGGGGAGTCAGATGCTTCTCTAGGTCAACATAGCATGATGGGAAGGGAGATTACCATTCAACTTGACAACGAGAGTTACATGAATACCGATACAGATATTGATCCCATGAATGCTGGAATGGACCTGTGGGATTCAGATGACCAAGAGGATGAAGATGTGCAGTTGGAAGAATCTGATTTTGATGAAGCAGTTGATGCCATGCAGCAGCACCAGCAGCAATCACGTGGCATTGGCCCCAGTGAATTGACTGGGTGGGAGTCTGAAGATGGGGTATGGACTTGGAGAAGTCAAAGAGCAAATATGACCAACTTGATGGCAGACATGGAAGGGCCAGATGTCAGGACACCTTTTGTTGGGAATCCTGGTGATTATGCTGATGCAAGACAGTTTGAGATGATTCTTGAACAATTTGCTGAGGACGACAGTTCCAGAAGAGGAGCTCCACCTGCAGCGACCTCTTTCATTGGAAATCTTCCCTCTCTGGTTATCTCCACAAGCCATGAGGCAGATGGCGCTGTGATCTGTCCAGTCTGCAAAGACCCGATGCCTCTCAGAACTAGAGCAAAACAGCTACCATGCATGCATCTATATCATTCGTCATGCATCTTGCCGTGGCTTAGTTCCAGGAATACATGCCCAGTTTGCCGATATGAACTTCCTACAGATGATCCAGAATCCGAGAGGTCCGAGCGAGCTGCAACAAATGAAAGAGATGTCCTTGGGGTGGAGGAACACACCCATCTGCAGGAAATTGGTGAAGAAGGTTCTGATGAACCTGGGGCTGAAGAAACTCAGGACATGTTTAATGATGCAGTGGAAGTGACTAATACAAGTGAACATGGTGTTCATGTTGCTGAGCAGTCAAACAGAGCATGTGCCCACCGTCGATGGCTGTTTATTGCAGTTGCCCCAGCAGTAAGCTTTGTCGGTTTAGCTCTGGTTTTGTGCTTTGCAAATCCTACTAGTAGTGGTAGAAGGCGACTGTGTCGTGGATCCCAGAGTGCCTCTGCAGCACTTGTAGACACAAAAAGAAGTTGGTGGTCCATGTTCTAGATATCCAGTACATGTGTACTGATCCCGAATTTACTGTGTGGTGGAACTCGATTGTTGGCAGTGCTTTCTCTGTAAAAAGTTTGATTTGAAGTTTTGGTCAATGTGATAAGTGAGGAGATCCATTGAGTTGTTCCTGTAACCGAGTTCAAAACTATATATTTTCCACCACTTTGCTCAGTTCAGCAAAGTGTGTATTGATGCCTGCTGTTGTTATTCAACTGCTACTTGTGATTGGATGTCCTCTGCTTCATATTGCTGTAACCGCAATTAATCTCTGCTTCAAAGTTCAATCCATGTCTTAATATAATCTGCAGTCTGAAGACTCAAGATGCCTCCAGACTCCAGTTCACCTTATGTTAGAAATTTAACCAGCGCTGGCTGTGAGGTATTTCTCTATTTGTTGATGCTCATGTATAGGTTTGTCTTGTCCCTTTTGCTTTTCCATAAGTAGCTCTTGCCTAGCTAAACTAGCTGCTTGCAGCATGAGTGCATGACTGCTGCAGAGGTATTCAGGTATAGGCCTCCTTTGGTCCATAGGATAGGAATATCATTGTAAATAGGAAAATCATAGGAAGTGAGATGACATGCACCTCAATTCCTATAGGGAAAGAGATGTCATTTGATGCATAGTATCTCTGTTTTTAAGGCGTCCCGCCTTGGACGCTTAGGCGACGCTTAGGCGATAAGGCGCCCCGCCAGCGCCTTACAAATATGCCCGCCTTAGGCGCTTAGGCGTCCGCCTTAGGCGCTTAGGCGTCGCCTAGGCGATAAGGCGCCCCCCCAGCGCCTTAGATCGCCTTACCGCCTTAAAAACATAGCATAGTATAGGAATTTTTCCATTGAGTCTAGGCCTCATTCAGTTTGGAGGATTTTTATAGAAAAACGCAGGAACAAGGATTTCATAGGAAAATTTCCTATAGATGCATTCGGTTTGTAGGAAACGCGTACGGGAATTTCGTAGGAATACTATTCATTTCCTGTGTTTTTGGAGGAATCTACACATCCACTCAAAGCTCATTTTGTGCGTAGGAATGAGGCAAGACAATTCCTTAGGATGGCAAGTGCATCCTATCAAATTCCTATACTACTAATTCCTACATTTTGGTTTCCTCCAAACCGAATGAATGTGTCTTTTCCTTTGAAATGTGAAGGATTGATTCATATCCTATGTAGGAATAGGAATCCATTCCTACAAACCAAAGGGCTCCAAAGAAAGTTTTCCTTTAAACATCTTATCCTACAGAATTCCTACAAACCAAACGAGGCCATATATTTTGTGGTAGCTTGTATGTTTTCATGAGGTAAAACAGGGCAGGGAATAGTACGCAAGCAGAAGGCAGAAACCAGTTTTCTACCATCCTACTGATGAATAGACACCACCATGCAGTGAAGATCAATGAAGGCTGTCTACTGTTGCCTTGTGATCTGAAAACAATGTTTTAACAGTGAGAAATGAATAAATTAGGAAAATAAGAAGTGACATTCATTTCAGAAGAGTAGGCGTATGAAGGAGCTGAGCACTAATTACCTCCCATCTCAAACTCTTGTTGACTTATATGAACTGTATGGTAAGTCTACAGAGTAGATGTGTAGTAAGGGAAGGAATAAATGGTCCCAAGCCTATGTAACTCTATGGCAACACCCAGCAGATGAAGAGGATCCACATGAGGCCATTCCAGATACATTCTATTACCTTACCTCATTTCCTTCTCTAGAGGAAGACTCGATGCATGCATTTGCTCTTGTATGTGTATGTATGCCTATACTTAGAGTCTCAGATTCACAAGGCCGCAACACATCTGCAACGCCACCCAACTGCGTCAGTTCATTGACCTTTGGTTGCTTCTCAGAAATATTCAGCTTTCAGATGTGGCCGACAAAATTTCTTGGAAGTGGACTCCTGACTTGAAGTACTCGGCTAGCTCGGCTTATCTGCAGCAGTTCACTGGTTCTTTTGCAGCCACCAATGTCTAGAAGCTATGGAAGGCTAGAGTTGAACCCAAGTGTAGATTCTTCATTTGGCTATGGCTTTGGGAACACATCCTCACCAACGACAACCTTCTGAAGCGGGGCTGGCCGAACAATGGCCCTTGCAACCTCTGCGATCAACAGCCTGAAATCCCTGCACATTTGCTGCTCCATTGCTCCTTCGCACGCGAGGTTTGGCACCTGACTGCGGATTGGCTTCAGCAACCGGCACTCATCCTGCCTATCGACTCCTGCTGCTCCCAGGTGTCTGTCTATGGCTGCTGGAACATTTGGAAGGAGAGAAACAGGCGAGTCTTTCAAAATTCTATCTGCTCGGCTGATCAGGTGCTTAGCATGTCAAATCGAATATGGCCCTTGCTCACTCCTCCATTACTTGAGACACCTTTGGTGAAAACGAGCCAGAGCCCGAGCCGGATTAGTTTTGTATGCTTTCTTTCTTTTCTTTAGGAAAACTACTTTCCCTGTCTTGTAACTGACAAATCTAAGACAAGTAATATGGATCGGAGGGGGTAACTGACATTATGTTGCTTCCCCTTTGAAATGCATCGGCAGTACAACTGCCTGTCCCTTAAAAAAACAATATGATCACCATCACTTGCTGCATTTTGAAATCCTTGAGTTTAGCGGCACATCAAATATTCAAATCTAGATTCTACATCTGCTTCATACAACTTCGGCAAACAAAGTTCCAAGCACATTATTGCTTAAGCGGATAGTCAATAAGCATACCTTTATTTAAATTGAGCATGCCCATACAGGTGAAAGCACAGTTTAATTTTCGGATCCTTCTTGTTTACCATTCATGTTCACTGTTCGGGTAAAAGATCAATTTCCCACATACGTAGTTTGTGAGATGACTACTTCATATTTGTAGCGTATTATTAGATGGTACTCCCTCCGTTCCAAAATACTTGAAGTTTTAGGTTTGTCCTAACATTTTTAAGTTTGACCAAGTTAATAGAAAAATATACCAATATCTACAATATCATATTAGTTTCCTTAGATTCATCATAAAACATATTTTCATACTTTATATAGTTGATGTTGTAGACGTGATATATTTTTCTATCGACTTGGTCAAACATAAAGATGTTTGACTTAGGAAAACCTAGAACTTCAAGTATTTTGGAACGTAGGAAGTAGTACTCAGTGTGGATTAGGTTCCACTTGCAATGTTTTGATCTTGTGTGAGCATGCTTTTTGTGTCCAGAAAATCGTTGGTGAAAATGACTGGAAGTTGACACAAGAGCATGAAAGCAGTGTGAATATTATACCATCATGTTTTTCAGGACCGCAAGCAACTACATACTTACAATATTATGTATCCTTGTTGTCCCTGTCACAATCTTTGTACAGTTTATTTTACTGTTAAAATTGTAAAGCAGTACTTCCATAATTAGTAAAATTTACTAGAGAAAAGACAAAACTTTAGTCAGCCACATATTTTGACTTGAAAATAGAAGTATTGTATTTTCTACTTACTGCAGAAGCACACATGTTGTCTCACATGACTGGATAGTCCTAACCTTATAGGTTTTCTGCATAGGCCTCGTGGCACCATTTTCCAGGGCTTGTTCGATGTTGCACACTTGTACCTCATGGAAGCCTCAAGCGTGGAAGCCAGCGCATATGTCACACGCATTCGGGCATGAGCCAAGGAAAAGCTCACAGCAGCAAACCGAAGCTCTAGCAAGCGTGCCAGCTCACCAAGCTCGCCTTCACTCCATCGCTCATCGCCGAGGTACCGGCACATGCCATCTGTTGTATGTCAAGCCAGAACGTATTTGCCTGATCGATCTAGTTAATAAGCTTGCTATACATGTTAAATCTGGTTGTCAGTTGCTTTGGATCTTGTGATTGCTCCAACTACACTTAGTTGCCACAACTCTTTCCTGGGGCTCGCTAACTGGGGCTGCTGTGGCATGGACCATCTAACAATAAACTAATTGTTAATGAATGCCAAGATCTGAAAATAGCGTACCATTAAACAATCATACACCAGAAGAGAAGTCAGATTCATATGCTCAGAGACTCGAACAAGTACGAAGGTGGTTCTGGCATTGTCTTGTATCTGAATGTTTGACTGGAACACTTCCCCGCCTCCAGCTCCATGTCTCCTCTCATGGAGAACTTACTTATGCTAATCCTTGTTCTTCTTCTTTGCTTAGCTTTGTTTTGCTTGTGTAACGTCCTATGGCTAAGACCGGAGAAGACAAGGAAGAGGTTGAGAAGGCAAGGAGTGAAGGGTCCCAAGCCTACTTTGCTTGATGGCAACGCCAAAGAGATGAAGCGTATCCGACATGAGCTCAAGCCTATGAAGAAGCAAGACAGCAACAACTACATCTCCACCCTCTTCCCTCACATCCTTGTCTGGAAGGAAATTTATGGTATGTATGCAAGTTTCTTTTGATGCTATGATCTTGCTATGTTTGTATGTGAATATTTCAGGCTGATGCTGTGATCTTGATCTTTATTAGATAGACATTTCTGGTCACTTACAAATTTTGTGAGGCAAAATTTTCCCCACGAATCAGTTCCAGAGATTGCACTGCTTTGGAAAACGATTTAGTTAACAAAAATCTTTTGATTGATTTGTACACTGACATTTTATATGGTATATGGATCTACACAAGTGAGTCAGTAACATCAAGCTCTTTAAACAGCGGTTGTCAGAGAAATGGCTATGTCGCATTTTTCTAGTGAGTTTGTTTGTCCTTTTCAAGGGTAAGTAATACCTAATCCATGTTACACAACTCATTATTAGTACTTAATTGCTATTGATCAGATTTTTTTACATTTGTCATAATCTTAGGCACATTAGTAAATCAATGGGGCAAGTGGGTAGAAGCTGACAAAAGAGCACAAAATATTAAACTTCTGTTGTCAGTTGTCCTGACCCATGTCATGAATATTTTATATTTTTGCATTCAGGGTCACAAGACTAAAGTACCTGCTACTCTCTATCACTGCGATTTTCTTACAGCGTTGACAGTACAGATTACTTCTTTTTTCTCGAACACACACACAAATGCATGTTGTTTTGTATTAGAAGAAAACGCCAAGATGGCACCAGATCCATACAACACAGCCTCAAAGAAAAGCTCAAAACAAGAAAGCAAAGAAGTACTCCCTCCGTTTACAAATAAGATGTTCTAACTTTTTTCTGAATCGGATGTATATATACGCGTTTTAGTGTGTTTGTTCACTCATTTCAGTCTGTATGTAGTCCATATTGAAATATCCAAAAGATCTTATATTTGTGAACGGAGGGAGTACATATTTTCCAAAACATCTTATATCTATGTACTACTTCAACTAACATATTTTCCAAAACATCTTATATCTATGTACTACTTCAACTAAAATATTTTCAAAAAGTAGAACTACAGTCTACAACCCTTAAATAGTTGAATCCCGTATCCTTGCATTCACCTTAGGTTAGTACATACTATTAAACTGCCCTGACGTCTTATATGTAGGAATGGAGGTAGTAGATAGTCTTATAAATAATGTAGTACCAAATACTTTTATGGACAATGCATCCACCACCGCTAAGTTGCTTTCAAGTGTGTTTAAACTTGAGAAGTACTCCCTTGACAAGTGAATTTGTTTTTGCAAGAAGTATTAGATTTTCCTTGACAAGTGAATTTGTTTAAAGGATGGAAAAACTTGAACTAACATATTTTCCAAGAAGTATTTAGGAATGGAGGAATGGAGTATTAGATTTTTACAGTTTAAAGGATGAAAAAACTCAACTCTCCCTTGACAAGTGAATTTGTTTTTGCACGATAAGCCATGACTGTGTGCACCCAACTATGCAATCAAAACATTCACTTACCTCTGTCATTTTGTATCAAGATGACTTTCAACTCTGAACAGTCATGTACTCACGTGGATGATGCAATCAATAAGTAACTTGTGATTAATATTTCCATTGACTGAATCTGTACCTTTTCCCTTTTTTTTGTGTTGCAAGGCTATTCATTTGCCAACCACTTAAATATCATGCAAGTTATGCTTTGGTAGAAGGTGCAGGTATTTTAGAATGTAACGATGATCAGCTTTATTCTTAGTTATACGTGCGGCACTATTCTTCAGCTTCTGAGAACCTTTGGTGTGGCACCAGGGTTGCGCACCAGCATCCAGAAGAGGCTGGCATGCCCATGAAAGGTGGCATGCTCGTCATGATCAGATGATCTGCGCGGTGATCTCGGCTGCCCCCATCGATACCATGCTGGCGATTGATATGCCGTGGTGGCTGCGGGAAGCCATTGATAAAAAACAGGGAGCTTCTGTTGGATGGGCTGGCAAGACGCCAGCGGTGGTAGCTGCTCGGTCATGTTGCGTGATATCTGCCACCCTATTGAGTTGGGTGGCCTGGGCATAAAAGACCTGAGAAAGGCGAACTGGTCGTTGAGGGTGTGCTGGCCTTGGTTGCAATAAGCTGACACCTCTCAACCTTGGTCGCAACTTCTGATCAAAGCTAGCCGGCACGTCACCGCACTTCTCCACACGGCCTCCAGGGTTGCAGTTGGCGACAGTCAGCAAACCCTCTTCTGGACTCTCAGATGGACCGGAGGGCAGTCCATCGCTGAATTGGCACCGGTGGTGGTTGGATCTCGGACGCTCAAGGCTAGGACCATCAGCGCGATGCTGCACCAAAATCGGTGGATCCAGGGCATCAGCTGAGCACTAAATGTGCAAGGATTGATGGAATTTCTTCATCTGGTGATGGTATAGACCTCGACTCTGAAGTTATCGACCAGCTTGTTTGGTGTTGGACTGAGTCCAGGCTCTACTCGGCCAAATCAGCCTGTCAAAATCATTTTGCCGGCATGGTCTAGTCGCCGGCCTGGAACTCAACGTTGGGCTGTTGGGTGCCTTTGAAAGCAAAATTTCCGCATGGTTGGTCGCGCAAACCGGTGCTGGATAGCAGATCATCTAGTGAGGCGACAGTTGGATCACCCTAAGGTTTGCCCTTTTTTCAAGCAGGAAGAGACTATATCTCACTTGTTGTCCGAGTATGCTTTAGCCCAGCAGGTCTGGCACTCAGTTCTAGCCCATTATGGTCTTCAGACCATTACCCACCCAAAAGCCATATATCAGTTTCTTGACTGGTTTCTTAGCGTGGCAGAGCGAGTCAGCGTTGGCGAGATGAAGGGAGCTCGGTCACTCATGTAGACGTTGTGGCGGCTCTGTATACTGTAGAACTCATGTGTGTTTGGCTGAGCTGCCTGCATAGCCAGTATCTGGTAGGCACCATCTTGGTCAAAGCAGGGCAATGGCAGCTAGCAGGTGCGAAGTGTGCTGAGAAGGTTCCTTCTGCACACTAGACCTCCAGATGGTTCTTAGGCCGAGGCCTTGCTGTAGTTTTAGTTTATCTCTGTTCTTTTCAGTGTGTTTTCTAGGTTCTCCGGTTGTCTTCGGTTTCCATTTCATACTAGGCCTAGGTAAATGTTTTCTGTTTCGCTTGCTGTACTTTTTGCTTTCTTGACACCTTTCTAATGAAAGTGACACAATTAGTTGTATTCAAGGAAAAAAAAAGAATATTCGATGTCAGTTCAATCTAAGTGCATCTAAGAATTAAATAAGTTTGTTATGCATTCATATATGTCTTTTCTTCGAACATGGAAGTAACTGAAAGTATGAATTTGGGACAGGCTCTGTGTTCCTTTACTCGTCAGGAGGTCGGGAGATATTGCATGTTTCTCAGCCAGACATGGTAAAGGACATAGACCACTGGACACCATCAGAGCTCGGGAAGCCTAATTATCTGAAGAAAACTCGAAAAGCCCTTCTAGGGGGAGGGTTATTTACGGTGAATGGTGACGAATGGGCCTATCAGAGGAAGACCATGGCGCCAGAGTTCTTCATGGACAAGATCAAGGTAGTGACACACAGTTTGCTTACAGTTAACCTGGACTAGTATTCATGGCTTTAGGTATGCAATGCTGTATATATGCAGGGTATGATACAGCTGATTGAAGATGCAACTGCTCCGCTGCTAGAAGCATGGGAGAACATTCTCGACAGTGCAGGAGGTAGCACAGAGATAGTTGTCGATGATTATGTGCGGAACATCTCAGCAGATGTAATCGCCAGGGCTTGCTTCGGGAGTAGCTTCGCAAAAGGAGAAGAGATATTCTGCATGCTCAGGAAGCTTCAAAAGGCGATTTCTCAACAGGATGCATTTGTTGGACTCTCTGCACTGTGGTAAGTAAAAAATATTGTTAATCCATATTCCATGCTTAATCCAGTATTTTTCTATACGTTCGGCCAGGGAAGTAGGAAGGCATTTATTTCAGTGGACTGTACATGAAACAACTAAGGGGTGGCGAATCATGCTTAGTTCTTTCATGCTGTTGCAGGAAGCATCTGCCTACCAAGAGCAACCGAGAGATACGGAATCTGGTTGAGAGAGTCAGGCTACTGATCTTGGAACTGGCAAAGGACAACGGGAACGAGAGTGGAGCTGAGAATGAGGCAACTCATAACGGTCTTCTGCGTGCGATCATCAAAGGCTCCCATGGTGCTGGCCATGGCGGCACTGCCGAGGACTTCATCGTTGGCAACTGCAAGACCATATACTTTGCAGGGCACGAGAGCACGGCGGTCACCGCCATTTGGTGCCTGATGTTACTGGCCAAACACCCGGAGTGGCAGGAGCGCGCCCGTGTCGAGGCGCTGGAGGTTTGCCATGCGAGGAGCACGTTGGACGTCGACGCCCTCCACCGACTGAAAATTGTGAGCAGTTAACATTCTGTCCATCATCATCATATATCTAGACATCGTGTATTTGCTATTCATGCATTGCACCTGGCACCGAAATGCAGCTGACGATGGTGATCCAAGAAACTCTCCGTCTGTACCCACCGGCGTCGCTGATGATGCGTGAAGCCCTGACGGACATAAAGATCGGCGACCTGGATGTGCCCCGCGGAACGATCGTCCAGGTGACCAGATCGATGCTGCACCTGGACAAGGAAGCCTGGGGCCCCGACGCCGACGAGTTCCGCCCGGGCCGGTTTGCCAACGGTGTGGCTGGGGCGTGCAAGCCGGCGCACATGTACACGCCATTTGGGCTCGGCTCCAGGACCTGCATCGGGCAGAACCTGGCGATGACGGAGCTGAAGGTGGTGCTGGCGCGCCTGCTGAGCAGGTTCGCCTTCTCGCCGTCGCCGACGTACCGCCACGCGCCGGTGTTCCGGCTGACCATCGAGCCAGGGTTCGGCATGCCATTGGTGGTGAAGAAGCTGTGATCACCATCGTTGCTCATTGACCTGTAGTCGACCAGACTCTGAACTTGGACAGTCAACACTCACCAGGCGTGCGAGCCACATATATACTTCCTATGTCTCAAAATATAAGACGTTTTTGAGTTTTCAGACAGTCCTCAAAACAGTGTGAATAGTCATTTCTACCCTCAACAGTTTGATTTTCAAATTTGTCTCGATCCTGCTTCTTCCTCGCCGTGCACCAACGCCAGCCCTGCGCTAGCATCGGCGCGTCACCGCACCAAGACCAGAGTGTCCCCGCACCAGCACCAGCGTGCCCGCCCTCGCCCAGGTGGAGGCCACCTCCGAGCCCAGGCTCTTCCTTGCCCTGCTCGCCCCATGTCCGCATACTTCACCCTGCTCACCTCATGTCCTCGCCTTGTTCAAACTGCAATTGTGATACTCCATACTCCATGTTGGTGAATTAGAAACTGGAGTAGAAAGACTTGGTGATACTCCATGCATGATCAAGAGCAGCAGAGCAGTAAATCAAGTTGGAGCAAAGCAGAAGTAAAGCAAGCAGCAGTTGCAATAGAGCAGCAGTAGAGCAAGTAAATCAAGTTGCCTACCAGCAGATCTCTTCTTGTTCTCCCAGCAGCAATAGAAGATGAACTTTGACCTGAATTTCTCCCCACCTGGAGAAGATGAGGATCAATCTGTGGCAAAGAAGATCATCAACCTGAAGGAGAAGATGATCAGCCTGGAGGATAAGGAGGTAAATTTAGTGAATTCATCTTTTAAAGTTAACTAAATTACAGTGAATTTAAAATTCAGTTAACTGAATTTAAATTTAGTTAGCTTTACTTAATTTAGTTTACTGAAGTCATTAACTTTCAAATTCAGTTTAACTACATATAAATGCACTTAAGTGTTAAAATGCATTAAAATGTACTTAATTGCATTTAAATTCAGAAAAGCAGTTAACTAAATTTAAATTCAGTAAAGTATGGAGGAGGGAATTCTTTCAAAATTCCACATGTGAACAAGCAAAGATTTGAAAGGGATGGAATGCTACCTCCTAGGATTCATTTTTCTCGTAAAGTCTATGAAAATGCCTTGGAGATTCTAGGACAAGATGTCCATTCAGCCTTGTGTGGAAAGACTTGTGTAGAGAGGCTTGTGATGAAAGACTTGTGTGGAGAGGTTTGTGATGAAAGGTTTGTGTGGAGAGGCTTGTGATGAAAGGCTTGTGTGGATAGGCTTGTGCGGAGAGGTTTGTGATGAAAGGCTTGTGTGGAATTTCTCCATATTGTTTGTAAGAATTTTGTAATCCATATGTTTGTGTGGAGTATGTTAGAGTATTTGTAAGAATTTTGTTATTACCCCATATGTTTGCAAGAATTAACAAGATGCCCATTGAGCATGTGTGATCATTTTTACTCCATATGTTCGCAAAGGATTGTGTGGAGTGGATTTTTTTACTCCATGTTTTTACTCCATTTGTATGATCATTTTTACTCCATAAGTTTGTAAAGGAGTATGACTATTTTCTGTATTTCATGAAAGTTTCTGAATTTTGTAATGGTTTTGTTGAAATTACTCCAAGTTTCTGAATTTTATAAAATTATCTGAATTTTCTTAGGAGACGAGAGTAGATGGGAAATTTCATGAATTTTCTGTCGTTTGTTGGAGAGGAGAAACTTAGGAGTAGGAGATGAGAGGGGAAGAGAGGAAAGGCAAGGAGAGGCCAAAGAAAGGAGTATTCCAAAGCACAATGCTTTGTGCCTAACATGGAGTATTGGAAGTATTCTAACTACGGGAACGTATCCGGTGCACCCACACTTATGGTGCTACTGGTGCACCGAATGCCGTACAATATTTTTAAAAATCTGAAAAAAATTATAGCACATTGACACAACATCAATGTATGTTGTCACAAAATTTCGTATCAAAATTTGAAACCTTCATTGAGATACAAAATTGACATCAGTGTGACAATAGGCCAAATCTAAAGCCTAACTTATGTTACATACTTACTATTCAATGCTGAATTTGTCATTTTTGTTTTAGGAGCTATGTTTTGAATTTCGACTTGTGATTATCTCGTGCACCGGTGCTTGTGGTGCTACCGGTGCACCGAACTCACGTTACACATTTTAAATGTTCAAAAAATTCTGAAAAAAATTTAGCACATTCACACAACATTAATATATATTGTCACAAAATTTCAAGTCAAAATTCAAAACATAGCTCCTAAAACAGAAAATGACCCATTCAACACTGAATAGTACGTAACATACGTTGGGCTTTAGATTTGGCCCAGATGTCAATTTTGTATCTCAATGAAGGTTTCAAATTTTGATACGAAATTTTGTGATGACATACATTGATGTTGTGTCAATGTGCTAGAATTTTGTTCAGATTTTTAAAAATGTTGTACGGCATTCGGTGCACCGGTAGCACCATAAGTGTGGGTGCATCTGATACGTTGTACTCTACAGCACCACGCATACTACAACAAATTTAATCCTAGAACTAGAAGAAAAGAAATCCTAAAATCTAGAGCAAGTCCACCACTACTCCTATCACTGGAGTAAACAGCAGTTGTGTGTTCAACATCTTTACCAACAGTAAATTGGCAATACTCCATTATCTACTCCTGCAACTTCAACTACAACAACATCCTACAACTACTACAACAACATAAAACTACTATGCATCATCTTCCTAGCTACAACTACTCGTCTTCAGCAGCACATGTTACACGAAGCAAGCAAACAGCAAGCAGCAGATTACTTGTTTAATACAACATGACACTTGTTAAACTTGTTACTGGAGTAATTCAGTTAAATTCATGTCCTGTACTGTTAAACTTGTTACTGAATTCGTGTCAATTTCAGTTAAATTCAAGATACACAAGAATAGTCTGCTGGAATACTGCAGGACTACAGTAAAAAGCTTGTTACCTAAATTCATATTAAATTCATGTTTAGTCAAATTCATGTTAACTTGTTACTATATCTGAATTCATGTTATCTGATGCGGAGCATCCTACGGACATCACCATGTCAAGAGTCCGTTTGGCAAGTGACACGTGCGACCTCTACTTCACATACACAAAGGTGAATCATATCCTTTACACGTGCTCACTTGACCCCTTCGAGGATGATATACTACTTGACACTTCTCCCGTGTGCATGCATAGGTATTGTCGGAATGCTGCGGACGACGTGGAGGAGTGCAAGCGCCAAGGAACACCTACACCATCCGAGGGAAGCGTGGAAACGAAGACGCAAGAAGAAGAGCTGTCAAAGAAGCTCCAGCCACCGGACGACCGGTCGGGTCCGGACGTCCGGCGCCTGAAGATCCACCGGACGACCGGTCTAGACCGGACGACCGGTGTCCCTGCACCCGAGCCAAACAAGTGGACGTCTAACGCCTTCGGACGATCGGCGACCGGACGACCGGTCTAGACCGGAAATCCGCTACACCAGCATCCGAGCCAGAACGAGCGGACGACCGGCCCCTACCGGACGTCCAGCCGCCCACGAGCCACCGGACGACCGGTCCCCAGCGGACGTCCGGTACCTGGCTGTGTCCAGTTGATAGGTCATGTGAGGCCACTTTTAACACTAACGACTTGACCTCTACCTTTATTGTGTCTTCTCATTTGGTGCTAGGTCCCTTATATGATGATGCGCCGCTTCTCGACGACTTCGCCCTACCTTTGGACAAGACGATGGCCATGGTGGAATATGATGCACCCCCACATGGTTCCATCACAATGATGATCTTGACCACCATTTGGTCTTTCCACCTCACCTACACCACTTGAGTGGAATGAACAAGGTAACATAGGTGAAGGTGATGCTCTAGTCCCACTAGTGGACATTCATGACATTAATTGCTTGCATGATGTTGATCCCCCTATTGACATGCTTCATGCTAGTATGACTTCCCCATGCGATGATTTACCCATTTATGATGAGTATGATGATTGCCATGTGGAGTCTATTAGTTGTGATGCCATGTTACATAGGATTTCTTGTGCTAATTCTCTCGGTCACATCATGTTTGCCAATTCGCTTGACTTGTCATATGCTATGCATGAGATCGACCACATGTCATATTTGCAATCTCTTCATAGTGACTATGCATATGCCATTAAGATTAACCCAATTTGCACTTATGGCATAGATGACAAGCCTATGGTTATTGGCATTTGTTTCTCTTGTGATGATATTGATATGCTCCCTTTGCATTATTTATCTCATATGCCATGCCATGACCACCTAGCTTCGGATATGCATTATTTTGAATGTTGCCCATTTTCTCCGTATGATATTTCAAATATTGCACATGAGGAGACCCCCATAGTTTCCTCATACATGTTTGGAGATTTTGATCACTCCCATACATTGCATGATCCCAATACTTATGTGCACAATATGCTTCCCACGAATAAACATGCTATTGATGTGCCATATACTTGTATGCTCAATTTGCATCCCCATCATGTTATATACAATAACTATTCTTTCATGATGGATGACATGTTCTTATACCATGCATCAAATTTCTTTGAGCAACGCTTATCTTGTGCTAACTTTCACATGCACATACACATCATGATGGATGATGTGTATATTTACCACACACACAATTTCTTTCATTTGTGTCTCTTTTGTGTAGGTACCCATGAATTCTTGTCAACCTCGCAATCCCATGAGTTAACAAAACGAGCTCTAGAGAGCAACGATGACTTGAGATCCCATGGATTGTCTTTCCCACCGTTCCTTTCGTGCAAAGACTTCGCGCATTTCTTCTACATGACCCTCACTTGGCTATGGGTTATTGTCCACTACATATTCTATGCCCATCTTGCCATGATCACTTTGCATGATATGCTCATTATTATCCTTTTGCCATGCATTCATGACCCATGCTTTGCATTACACATGATGATTGATTCTCATGCTTGTATGTGTATTTGCAAGCTTGGTGGAGACATTGCTTGTTATTGCCATGTTTACTTTGTGTCCCAT